TTCATTTTGAAATTTCTCTAAACCGATGTGACATCTGGCGAAGGAAGTACTACACGAAGGAAGTACTACATGTTGTAATCTCTTCAAAGGGAGCTCTTCATATAATTGCAGTCGAACTTCACTTACAGGTAAGTTCGCTCGACTATTCAAATATTGATTATTGTAATTATGCATAATGTGTTTTTTTTTCATCAAGTATTCTCATTCGCCGAATGATTAACTGATAGTGATTATTATTGATGAATCGATTCATTCGTCCTTTCCATTCGTCAAAGACCTTATTTTATCGATTGAGTGCGTCAGTAAATGTGTTGATAATGTGATACAATTTATAAGAAAAAGAAAATTTCTAATTTCTCTAAATTGTACGTAATGTGCTGTTTAATTCGAATAATTCTCAGTCGCCAAATAATTAATCATGGTAACGATTAATAGTGATGTGGACCGATAAATTTGGATTTTTATAAATCAATTGAGTGCGTGAGTATTGATATAATTCAAGGAAGAAAAATTTTGATTTATTCGGTGTGGATTCGTCGTATGGAAAAGAATTGCTATCACGGCGAGTGAAATTATTTGTCCGTTTTTTACAAGGTATGAAGACATCGAATTTTTACAAGATAATGTGTGCATGCATGTGCGTGTGCGTGTGTGTATGTGTGCATGCATGCGTGTGAGCGCGAATGTGCATGTGTATTTGTGTCTCGTAGCAAAACAGCTGATCGCAACGTGCACCCGCGTCGAACGGTGAGTTGCACCATTCCTGCCTACCTTCTATACTCAGCCCGTAATTGAAACTATTTCTGCTTATAATTTAAAAACTAAGCTTCGGATAAAATTTTGATAAAGGAAAAATTGTCTTAGAATAAAGTTAGGAATATGCTCCCTTAAAGACAAACGATTGTTCTAAGTCACTCTGTATATAGTGAACACGCTTAATAATTTATTGTGAGGAACCGATCTTAACCTCACAATTGGTGAGCTCGACGAGATTTTCCGGGAGTGAATGGACAAAAGAATTTTTAGAAATTCATCATGCCAATCATGCCATCTACAATTAACTTTGGGAAGGATCTACCAAGGGACTCGCTATCAGCCTTAGCAAGGGAATTTACACATACAGATCTGGAGGAGGTATGGATTTACGCCGCACAAAAGGTCAGGTTACCTATACCTATATGGCGTGAGATGCCCGCACATTGATTTAACGTAGTCGAGACGAGGTTTTCTTTGAATCGCATCGTAAGAGACGACACTAAATTTAGACATATACTAAGTAACTTAGATTCGCAAACCATTTCGTATGTAGCCGACTTAATAATTAATCCTCCCGCTCAGAATAAATAAAAAATCATTAAAAGACGCATCACACGTTCGGCGAATCTTAAGAAACCAAGCTGCGTAAACTCTCAAGTGGCCAGGTACGCGGAGAGGATAAGCCGTCACATTTTTTGCAGCGGTTACGAAATTTAGCAGACGATAACTGCACAGATTTGATAGTATGCAGCTTATTTCTAAAGCAACTACCCGAGGTCGCGCGAAGTATTCTCGCAGTTTCACCGACGGAAAATTTAGATACGCTAGCTACTCAAGCAGATCGAATCATGGATGCTATCAGACCGCAAGTAGCGAGATTCGGACTTAGAAATGCGGCGCAAACATTCCAGCGTTTTATGGATACGATACTTAAAGATTTAGATTTTTGCTTTTGTTATATTGATAATATACTAATAGCTTCTAGAACAGAGGCAGAACACAGAGGACACTTAAAACAATTACTGTAAAGACTATAGGAATACGGACTCAGCATCAACACTGAGAAGTGTACCTTAGGACAAGCGGAAGTTCAATACCTCGGTTGTACAATCAATAAGGATGGCACTAACTATTGAAAGATAAACTGGACGCAATACTTCGCATTCTGAAACCTCAAATAATTGGTCAGTTACGTAGAATACTCGGAATGATTAATTTTTAGAAGATTTTTACCGGCAGCAGGAACATTACAGACAGAACCATTAGCGCCCTCATCTTAAGAGCATAGAAGAAGAATAAACGATTAATAAAGTGGAACGAACAAGCCTTCGAGGAGTGTAAAACGCAAT